TTTCTCGCACTTCAATTTCAGCTTCTTTATGACACCATTTTGTTGCACCCCCAGCTGTCATTAATAAGGATGCAGTTGGCATACGGATGCATTCCTAACTGTAGAGGTAAGGTGCACCTTCAAATTTTATCATAATTTTGATGCAAAATGTTCTTAGGATTATCTCAAAACTTATTTTTATATTTAATTATAAAATTTTAAATTTCAAAATTAGTTAAAATCAAGTAGATCTATAAACAACATATGAAAATCTTGAAAACGAACGGTGTAGATAATATGTTGTAAAATGCATTATTTCTGAGACTTAAAATCTTTTTATTTTTCATGGTCATACATCTCGATGTCGAGATGATCAATCAATTTTCAACATTAAAACTATCTTTTCCGATGGATTTTTGAGGTGCATCCATAGTTCTACATTATAAGGTTATATCCTTATGTAAACTTTTTCCCATTAATAATCATGCAAATTTTTCCCTAGATTGTAGATATTGTGCAGATAATATTGGTTCAAATACATGGTTCTTTCAATATTCAAGGTTGATAATAACTGCCTGATCATAAGAAAGTCAGCTTCATTACAATACAAATTCTGTGTTGCGACCTTCGGTTTTCTATCATCATGAATAGGTCATGCATCGACCTCTCCCTCATATTCTTTATCACCTCATATGGATATATCTCGGCCGCACTCAAGTATTGATGCCCAGGCCCGGCCCGCCATATTTAAAGCATTTCAGCACGTTCTCGAATCTGAAGAGGATTGTTTGCTATTGGGCCTTTTCTTGCTTTCGGCGCGCATTCGCAAAACTGAAAATTTGATGCTAAAATCAACTATTTTAAATCTTGAAGTCTCTGGTCACTCACACACCATGCAACAAGCTGATCATCACTCTCATTGACCTCATTTTGGCTATAAGTCAAGAAGGAGAAACTCGTCTGAAGTCTCATGGGGAACGTCTTCTTTACATCATCATCATCATAGCTTTTTTCTCAATAATTGAAGTCGGCTACACGAATCTTAGTCCACCATTCTGCTCTATTAAATGTCATAAGTCCTCATATCTTTTTAAACTTCTTCCAACCACGTTCTTTTAGATTTACCCCTTGTCTTTTTAAGTCTTTCCACTTAAACTAACTCGCACTTCCTAACAGGTATTGTACTTGGTCGGCGCCACACATGACCAGCTCACCTAAGTCTACTCTCTCGTCTTATCATCCTCCTTAAATACAAACCAAAAATAAAAACCCAAAAATAAATCTACTCTCTCGTCTTATCATCCTCCTTAAATACAAACCAAAAATAAAAACCCAAAAATTTATTGTTGTCTAAATCACGTAACTCCCATAAATCTAGGACTTCCCCTTCAACCCGCGCTTCACCCTCATCATGTCCCTTTCCTTGTGGTTTCTTTAGACATAAAGAGTCCTAACTAACGAAAAAAAAACAATCACGTCTGTTCTTAAAAAAAATGCGTCGGTCTCCTTCGTGCTTCAAGTCCTCAATTCAGTCAATAAGAAATTAATAAATAAGGTAAAATAATGTTCAATCAGCCCATCTTCCAAACTTGATTTGCATAACTCTCTCTTTATCTTCATCGCTCAAATGGTGTAATTTCGCATTCACACCATCTTTGGTAAATGACCACGTTCAAATGGTGTAATTTCGCATTCACACCATCTTTGGTAAATGACCACGTTCAAATGGTGTAATTTCGCATTCACACCATCTTTGGTAAATGACCACGTTTTATTTCAGCTATCATGAACCATAAAACAGTTCTACTGCCCAGTAACAGGTGATAAGCAATACGCATTAGTATACCGTTTGCCAATAAAAAACAGAAACCAAGCAACAAGAATCAACAGGAACTTCGTTACCTGGTTAGAATCACTGTATCTCGTAGGCTTGGGGATGTTTCTCTTTCGTTGATTTCAATTTTTCACCATCTCTTGGGAAACCATGTTCATGTAGCTCTTTCTACAACAATGACCATGCCTACCTCGCCTTGCACCACGCATCTTGAACAAAAGATGTTATTTTGCAGCCATAACTCATCAACAACCTTGGTGTAGGTCGAATCACTAGTAGATCGCTGTCATCAGGGTATGTCTCCTCTTCAACTCCCCCAATATCAGCCTCCGCCACCTCATCGGTGTGCATGTTTTCCTCCTTATTACACCCCCACGAATTCCCCTTGTAAGTGTACACTAGCTTGATGCTTCGGGCAATCATAAGACTTGTGTCCCAGCTCACCATACTTGAATCAACTTGTTGTCAGACTGTTGCTCTGTGTTAGGCCTGCGTTTGTAGGTTTCTCGCCGCGACTTATTAGATCTTTGCCCCACTACCTCCTTGGAGTTTGTATTAGTTGGTCGCCTATTTAAGAAGTGATTTGACCTAGTTCTGCGCAATTTGGTCTCGGTGTGCTGAACAACATGTGATCATTGTGTTAAAATATTGCAGGGTTGGCGCGGTTTTGAGGATGTTGGGGGCTGACCACTTTGACAAGATTTCTTTACGAGAGTTTCTGCTTACTTGTCAATCCAAGATGCTTAATTTTGCTCTTTCAAATTAAGTGACCCTATGCTTATGTTCAGCTTAATTTTGGTGACCCTATGCTTATGTTCATTGATAAGACTGGAGACTATTCTTTTATTCTTGTTATGAGTACTGTTGCCCTGTAGTATGTTACTAGTTTATGCTGCAATTCTTTTTGGGTTTTATCCTTTTTACCAATAGCTTTTTCATGCCTTCAGTTTGGGGGTTCAGTAAGTATCTGTTGGACTTCCCAGATCTCAATCATTCCTATTATGGTGTTTGTGCGTTCAGCTTGTTGCAAAAGCCTGGCCTTGTACCACTTTGTTTTGAACTGGGTATGCCTCAGCCTCTCGTGTTCTTCAAAATTCAGATCTCAATCATTCCTATTATGGTGTTTGTGCGTTCAGCTTGTTGCAAAAGCCTGGCCTTGTACCACTTTGTTTTGAACTGGGTATGCCTCAGCCTCTCGTGTTCTTCAAAATTTTCTGGTAAGCAAAACTCCACGGCTGCCAAATGATCTCTTACAACGATGAACATGAAGGTGTAAACCCGATGAATTAAATTGAGAAAGAGAGAGAGGGAAATGGATCATATAACTAGAACTACATTTTCAGTGTCTCAATTTGTTGTGAGACCACCACCATTGGAAGCGACACAGTTGAAAACCCCTAAGGGTCAAATATCAGCTCGAACGGACACTCCAGAAAGACGTTATAGGCCGGCATGGATCAAAAAATTTCATAAGGTATTATGGAGAGCTGTTACTCCATTGTACCGGAAAATTTCTGATTAGAGTTGCATTTTTTTTGTCTTTCAAGCGTTCATATGTGGAGAACCGATGGCCATGCCTATGGTGAATGCACACAATACTAGCCAACACATGTTCTTTCGGGCCTTAGATGACTGAAAGGCTGCCTACGTTGCAATATTCTGAAGCCCTTCGTAACGGACCAAAATGGGCAGGGATCATAACGGACCAAAATGGGCAGGGGATCCATCATGGAACTTTAGCGCAGATGTTTTTTTGAAGTTGATACCATCATGGAACTTTAGCGACATTCTGGATGTACTCAAATTTGTTTTTGGATTGCCAAGAGAAAAAAGTTGAGAATTCGAGATGGGCGCTCTGAATTGTTGGAAAGCTTTACAAAATTTTCCCTCGTCCCAACAACTCACTTTACCGCAAGTCAAAAATTTCAAGCACTCGGAACTCTAAATTTTGTTGGCCCCTTTCGTCCCAAAAACCACTTACTCAAAAATTTCAAGCACTCGGAACTCAAATTCCTGCTCAAATTTTGTTGGCTTAAAAAGAATTTTTGCTTGTAACATTCCCGCAATAGCCAGCCTTCGTGGACAAAATCCCTCACGGGGACTCTTTAACTTCCTCCCTTGATTCTCTCTATCCATGGACCATCATGAATCACGCGGGGTATTGACTTGTTTCCTGACAATCAATGACAGCCCAATCTACTCTTCTTTCCTCCTGATCTGACTCTGAAATGCAGAATTTAAAGCTCAAGTCTCTCTCTCTCTCTCTCTCTCTCTCTCTCTCTCTCTCTCACTTGTTTCCTTTATATTTTCATGTGGTTCATCATTTTCCAGAACTCGAGGTGGAAGGAAGTTCATCATAGAAACGCAGTCTCACATGTGAAAAGATCCACGTGCATCTATAGAAATTTGTACTGAAACTAGGGGTCCTAGCGTGGTAGGCCTGGCCCTGAAAAACTAAGGCCAAAGCCACAAAAAGTGGCCGGAAAGCCAGGCCAGGCCTAAGCCATGAAGGGGCCACTCAAACCTTTTTCTTTATGCTTCTGTTCTGTTTTCTGTGTTTCTATTTGGCCCAGCTTGGCCCTAATAGGGCCAAGATTGGGCCTGGGCCCGCCCTTTGGGGACCAATGCTAGGCTAGGCTAGGGCTAGCATGGCCCGGCCCATTGCCAGCCCTAATTAAAACTAATCATTACAACCAAACCGTATGCTCCTCTTCCTTTTTTTTCCTTTTTTTTTATAATACATGTTCTTCTTCCTGTTGATTGATTAGAGAACAAAAGAACAATCACCACATTTCAGTCAAGAAATCAGCAACATGTAATTTATAGAACTGTCAAAATACACCTATATTTTGATTTAATTTCAAAATGCATATCAAAATACACATGATTTTGACTTAAAATAATAAAAAAAAGGCCAAATATTAAATAGTTGAAAATTGCGGTCTATTTTGATAAATTTTCCAATAATTTAAAGTGCGGTGTATTTTGATAAATTTTCCAATAATTTATTTAGGTAGTCGCCCAAAATGATTTCCACTAAAATTGTACAGACAGAGACCTCCATTCCTATTTTGTATTTTCCAAACAAATTCATCACAAAGTTCAAACTAATTAACCGTCGTCTTTTTTAATCATCTTCACTTTCTCACAATGATCTTTTGCCAATATCAAAATATAACATACTAAATGAAGATTTAGCAAAAATTGATTTATATTTAGTAGTACCTCAAACTATTTTCAACTCAAAATGGGCCAACATGCACTTCATGGTTTTATGTTCATACTCGAGAACATCTTGGACACTGAGGCAAACTCTTCTTTTGCCAATCTCGAAAACAAGGTAAGGACATCGTTCGAAAACAGAAAATCAGACCTTATCTCAGTTTCAAGATGAACATTCAACAAAATGGAACTGGAAGAGCATTTTATCCTTTCCTATGGATAACATACTACAAAAGTTCAAGAACCCATCCTTTAAGTGCGCATCAAAAGGAGGGTAATGAGTATACACCTTTTACCTTCTGCCTCGGCTCAGCCTCTGAAGGTGATAATTAATGCTGCCAAATGGCTTCTTACGTTTACCACTCTGCACAAGCAAGAACAGGCAATGTGAAATTTAAATATGCAGCCCCAATTAATTAATTTCAAACGACTAATTAGCTCATTTGCATTATTAGCGAAGAAAACTGGGAATAATCTCTATTTTTTAAAAAAAAGAATAGAGCACCTGAGCATCCATGCAGGCACTCAGAAGTTCCTTCTGGTGAACACACTTATCATCGTGCATTTGGTTGAGACTCAAGCAGTTCAAGAAGGAAAGCATTTCCTTCATACATGGTTTTGAACCAGCAGCAAACTTCTTAGGGTTTATGAACAAACTCCCGCCCTTCCGGCCCATACTCCTGCATAACAAAAAATGGTTTTATTAATTCCTCAATTCCAAATTGCAGACTGGGAATTGCTTTGGGTAAAAGGCACGAGAGATTCCATGCTCCAGTCTGCATTCCATGGTACAATACCACCGTGCCAATAGGGGGCCCTTGCCAATGAAAAACTTTTCACACAGAAAGCAAACTAGATACCAATAGAAAAAGTCTATATGTTAACAGATTTTCTCACAACAGTTTAAACATGAGAGTTAGCAATGCATAATGTGACAAGTTTGTAATTGGAATGAAATGGGTATATAAAGTCAAGTACAAGGCAGATGGAATCATGGAATAATAACAAGTATTCAATAAGGTCTATTACTAGCTCTTATGATCCCCTGAACATTGATTATTGTACAGTACACTCAATCATATAAAAAAATACACAGAACAGTGTTCCATAGGTACTGTGCAATATGCTTTACATCTATGTCTTTACAAAAGATGAAATAGAATGAAAAGGAAGGAAAACAAGGGGTACGCACCATTTCTTGTCCAGCATAGATCAGCAAATGACACAATGCTTTTGTGCATAATGGCCATTTTATACCTCTGCTTATGGGAAGTGGTCGGATAATCAAATGAATGTAGAAGGGCTTTTTTACAGGTTATGTGAAAAGCAAATTCCACAGGCAGCAACCAAGAGGTTGAGGGCCTGGCAATTTTTGGAGAAGCAACTCACTAGAGGTCATGCACTAAAAACTAGAAAGAAGAAGATGAGCAAGGAAGAAAAAGGTCAGCCATGCATTAGTACCCAAAGAAAAATTCGATGTAGGTTTGACAACATTCTTAGGGTTCATGTTAATGATGGAATCCAACAAATAATTCACTCTTCATCAAATGTTTTCCTTAACACACTGGCTCTTCATATATATGTGGATGCCATGATGATCATCTTCAGCAAGTTCAGAAAGAAACTATGGAGAGAACATGTTCTTAAAAGCATTTTTGAGATGATAGACTGATACATTCTTGGAGCTGACACTAGTACAAAAAGAGATGATATGAGGCCCTTTCGGGATCTTGTAAATTTGGACTGCAGGGTCATAAGCAAACCAACACAAGAGAAAATAATAAGAAAAACAGGACTAAGAAGAAATGATTTTAAACCCCAAGTTGGAGTCTTATGGCACTCGACTTTCATGAGAGCGGATATAGGAATTGTGGGATAATACCAAAGTTGTTGATACATTCGAAAACAAAGAATTAATAATGTAGCAGTTAAGAGGGTATCGAATGCTATGATCAACTTCTTTACTTAGCATGACGCACTGTACCTTGTTTCCTTCTTACATGTTAATTCAATGGATTATCCAAATGAACTGAATATAAAGCACCTTCTTACATGCTAATTCAATAGATTATCCAAATGAACTGAATATAAAGCATAAAATATTGTGAATTTATGAGCCAAATATTAGCAAGGAGTAAAAGGAGTAAAATGCTGTGTGTGCAAGAATAGAAGCAGATAAACAACAACTGCTTCCACAACAGTCGCTTGGCCGCCAGCTATAGGTCTGCAGAATTAAGACAAACATCACAATAATTATGTATTACATGATTCATGTGATGTGACTAAAGAACATCTTATCTTGCAGTCAATGTCCATTTCTGATGTAATCCAGCTAACGTCATGCTGACATAATATCCAACATTTAATTTCTGTTTGATTTAATTACTATTGTTCACGGGTTACTGTTGACAAGGGAATTCTTGGGATTTTTAATTTTGTTTAGGGTGGGCATGGAAATTTTGAGATTTTTTGGGTATTTATTAATTCGTAGGGGGATAATTTGGTGTTTTATTACAATTTAGGGCTTAGAAGAGTAGCTATTTAAAAAATTTTAAAGTTAGAGAGTAGTTTTGCTTATTTCAGCTTTTTCTTTTTCTTTTTCTTGAGGAAATGTTGAAAATAAGTTTGTACTACTATATCAAAGAATGACAAATTACGAGATAGGCCAACACACTAGGGCCAACTTTAAGAGCATGCACAAAAAATGGTGCTCAGGAGGAGCATGCTATACATCATATAAGAGACCAAAAAATAAAAAGAAAACCAAAATGCCCAAATTACTGAATCGAGCTCAAAAAACTTGTGTTGGTTCCCTGTTGAGTTCAGTAGAAGCTCCTCTTATGAGCACGTCTGTTCTGGAATTGCTTCATGCAACATACATCGAAAGGAGACTCGAATATGCCTGCCAAGGAAAGAAAGGTGCTCAAAGATGTGCTCGACACGCCAAGGGCATAGAGAGGGAGAGGCTCCTGAGGCCCGGCCCAGCCATGACGTTTTTCGAATCTCCTTCTATGACCAAGGATTCCCCCCAATCATGATTGTATTTCTTGATGCCTTCTAAAAGTGCAAGCACTTCCACCAAGGTCGAATCAGCAGTGTGCCATTGTCACGGAAGTACAACAGGAGCGTCTTACCAATGTGGTCTCTAAATAAGCCTTCAAATCCCATGGGGCCCGAGTTGCCTAAGGAGCACCCATCGAGATTCAGCTTTGTGCGATTGACTTTCGGAGGTCTCCATAGGACGGAGCAAGAGACACAGGCAGGCATAGAAACCAAAATGCTTTGCCAATTAAGGAAGTCAGGGGCCAATCTGCTGCTGAGGTTGTTATGCTTTTGGGTCCAAGAGAACAGCATAGTTTTGATGCAATCAATTAGGGTATTGGGGTTGGCCTCCCTGCCCTTGCATATTCTGCCATTTCCCTTGGTCCAAAGAATCCAAATGGTAGATGCTGTGGATGCAGAACACACAAAAATGCCTGCTGCCAGGAAAGGAAGCGAGTAGAAGGCTTGGAAGAGTTAAGGGATTGACTGGGGGACCACCCAACGCCACCCAAAACTTTGAAGCAACTGAGTCCAGAGTAGTGTGGCAACCTCACAATGTAGAAACAGGTGAGCATTAGTCTCTTCAGCTCACTGTCATATGGGGCACCTATCAGGAATGGGCAACCCTCTGCACGACAACTTGTCCGCTGTGAGGACCTTCATGAGGATGGTGATCCAGTAAAAGGTTTGGATCTTTGGTGGTATTGGGTTCAGCCAAGCCTTCTTGCCACTGCAAGGAGGGGAGGAAGGGTGTTAGTGGGCTGATGTAGAATACCATAAAAGGAGGAGACTGAGAAATAGCAAGAGGCTAATGGAGACCAGATACAGTGATCTGGGCCTGAAGATGGGAGGAAAGAATTTTGGAGAAGAGCTGATAGAGGCAACGGCAGTAAGTCCGTGGTCCTGCAGTGACCTTCTGAAGACAGGGTCCCCAAACTCTTGTTTCTTCCATCAACTCAACGAATTGGTCTATGGTGGCCTCTGGGTTTATTGCCTATGGGAAGACAGGGGTATTTGAATTTGTAAGCTAGTATTGCGGATACAGGTATTGTTCTCAAAATTTGCCCCTCCTCCCCTCCCCAACACTAACCCTAATGTCAGGCACGAAGTGACTGAGGTTTGTCAACATGGCCCACCAAGCTCCGAGGTCTAGTGAAGGTTTGGGAAGTAGGGAGCAGAGCAGAGGGGGATCAATACAGTATTTATGCCTCAAGATAGCCTGCCAGAGATGGGTTGGGTTAAGTAGCGAAGCAGCAGCACCACCACTTCCCCAGCAAGGCTAGATTGGCCAGCCTGAGGCTCCCCCAGCAAGCTAATTTTATCATTTTCGAGAAATTTTTCTCCATTGAAGCATCTTGAGCTTAACGTTTGCTGAATCTATTGAATTCCAGACCTAATTGCTGATTATTATTGTGCACCAATATTCCATGCTGCATCAATTAGTATCAGAGCATATCGATTTTCTCCATGCGCCACGGCATTAAGTTTATTTGAGAATGCGAAGATGGCTGCACAAAGGTTGTGAGGAAGAGGCTGTGTATGAGGAGGCAGCAGTCGAGGTGCCGGAGTTAGACCCACGATGGTGGATTTGAAGCTATTCTTTAAAGATCCGACACATTGGCTGCCAAGATGTGCTAAATTAGAGACATCACCCTAGAATTGCATTAGAAAGGGGTGAATGCAAAGATGATGATATTTGTCCCCAGGGTTTTGGGCACAGACCAGATCTAAACAAGGAATCACATGCAAGAAAACCTATCACGTTTGAAGAGTGGTTGGTTCGGGCGCTGGAAGGCTCTAAACAAAGTATTAGGGTTGATCTGCCTATTTTACAGGGAGATTACATCTAGATGACTTCCTTGACTGGTTTACAAGTGTCAAACAATTTTTTCAATGGAAGGATATGGCAGAGCATGAAAAGGTATGATTTGTTGGTATTAGATTAAAATGCCATGCTTTGTTGTGGTGGCAGAAAAAACAAGTTGATTGTATAACGAAAGCATGAGGCCAGCAGTTGGAAGAAGATGAAGAGGCATTTGAAGGGAAAATTTCTGCCACAGATTTTATGCAAGATTTTACTAACGACTCCATCATAATATGGCAGAAAACGGGTTGATACAAGTTTATAAGGAAGCCTTCTATTAGCTGAGTACAAATGATATTCGGGAGACTGATGACCAGCTGATTGCAAGATATACCAATGGGCTGAGTGTTGATGAGCTGTCTATGCATCAAATTTTTACTTTGGATTGGTATATCAGGACACTTTGAAAGCCGAGACCAGATTGCACAGATCTAGGTCGAATCACTTATTAGATAAGCGACCAACTAATACAAACTCCAAGGAGGTAGTGGGGCAAAGATCTAATAAGTCGTGGTGAGAAAGGAAGCCAAACCTACCAATGCAGGCCTATCACAGAGCAACGGTCTGACAACAACAGTAAACAAACAACTTGCTTCAAGTGTGGTGAGCTGGGACACAAGTCTTATGATTGCCCGAAGCATCAAGCTAGAGTACACTTACAAGGGGAATTCGTGGAGCGTAATAAGGAGGAAAACATGCACACCGATGAAATGAGGGAGGCTGATATTGGGGGAGTTGAAGAGGAGACATACCCTGATGACAGCGATCTCCTAGTGATTCGACCTACACCCAAGGTTGTTGATGAGTTATGGCTGCACACTAACATCTTTTGTGCAAGATGCATGGTGCAAGGCAAGGTAGGTATGGTCATTGCTGACAGAAGGAGCTACATTCCCAAGAGACGGTGGGAAAAATTGAAATTAAAGAAAGAGAAACATCCCCAACCCTTCGAGATACAGTGGTTCTAACCCAGTAATGAAGTTCATGTTCATTCTTGTTGCTTGGTTTCTTTTTTGATTGGCAAACGGTACACTACTCGGTATAGCGTGAGGAAATTACATAGGGGAGGGGCAGACATCCCCTCTTAATTGAATTTTATTTTTGAATGCTAAACCAATGGAGCATATTGTCTCAGTACACCAATAGGAATCGGGCTTGGGTCAAGACGGTAGAGGCTGGGTTTCCATAGCCTAACGTGTCAAATTCCATTCCTATGCAACCTTGTCAAAGAAAAAGATACACCAAACCAAGGCTATGCCACAGACCATATTCCATCCCAGAATCTTCCTAAATATTATTAAAAATACCAGATATCCTATGTTAGGAAGCCAAATAATCCAAATAGGTAAGTCCAAGTGTATAAATGAAAGACGATATTCAAAATGAATGAAAACTACGACATGAGTCAAATATGTCCAAAAATATCTGAAAATAAGCACGCCCGCAAATTTTATGTGAATTGGAGAAGGATTGTTGTAAGCAATGTGGAGCGCGTCACTGGATCTATAAGGCTCAGTGACGCGTCTCGATGCCACTGACATGTAGACAACTAAGATTTAATCTAGACCGCCATTGACTTATTTTGGGGTGAATTTTCTTATAAATAGGTGACTTCCAAACCATTGTTTACCATTCAGAGATCGAGAACCCTAACCTCCAAACCTTAACCCTATTAATGTTTTGCAAACCCTAAACCTAGACCTTGGTAACTCAAACCCTAGATCTAGGACACCATTTCCAGCCAATCTCAGAGTAAATAAAACAACATTTATTCAATCAAAAGCCCTAGATGTAATTTTTTACGGACCTCTTTTCCCGGGAGTGCGAATCATTCATCTGAATCACAATTATGAAGATCAAGAGACAGATTCACGTTCTTCCATCTAGTCCGGACCCCAACTTCTGGTGCTAGGCCTTAGGGCCCGGATTGTGAGTGTGTTCTCACTTTATTTTCTTTTCTGTATTATTTTCCTATATTTCTATTATTATTGTTCACTTCTTTGGAAAATTCTCTTTTAATCAGTTCCTCATGTTTTCCTTTCAATTTCTGTCTTTTATTTTGGATTTTATACAAACCTAAGCCAGTTAGACCGATGACTTGTGAGAAGAGAGCTCATTCTAGGCAGATCTAATCATAAATTGTAATTTGATAGAACCGACCTCTTCCAATCTTTAAAAACTTTAGACACGATCATAGACAGATCGAACGTTTGGTAGTCTAATCAGTATTATCTTCTAGAGGATTTTTGAGGTGTACCAAGGGGAATGGGGTTGGGACATCGCTAGTCTGGGATCAGACTAGCGTGTTGCGGTCAATAATGTCTAAGGGCCGCCACGATATATTACCATAGTTAGCAAGTTGGCAATAGCAATATATTGGCAAATCGAAATATTAGTAATAAATTGGTTTTATCTCAAAAATCAGAGGCAAGGAATCAGGTGAAAAACATAGATCGACAAAATTATGTAAGCTAAAAATAGTGAATATATGAATTTAGCTCAAAAAATGGGGTAAAAAAATCAAATATGTAAAGATGACATTAAATAAAATTATGATTTATTGTTAGGAAATATTAGTCATTAACAACAATTTAATGTTCTTACTTGATATTATTTACGGTATTGCATGACAAATTTTTTCCTAAGTTTTCGTTGAATACAATGACAATGCTTACTCTGTTATCACGACACAAAACATACGATGACTTTATTAGGAGTGCATAATGAAACAACAACAACAATGCTAAAGACAACAGATAACAACAATTGTAACCCAATGCATAAGAATATTATTATTATTAGAAGAAGAAACGAGCATACAATTAATAAAAATGCAAAAAACTAAAAAAAGTGAAACAATGGTCCATCCAAATTGTTGTGTTGTATTTACCAATAAAATAAAAAAAAGTCCAAAAAACGAGTGAAGTTAACAAAACTTCCATAGAAAGAACAAAAGCAAGAAAGTGCATATATGAATTGAACAATGTGTGTAAACAAACCCAAATATTTGACATTTTGAATTTCTAGTTGCCAAAATCTGTATATGCATCCGAGTCTCTTTCTTGCTTTTGTAATGATGCAATTGGTTTAGAGAAAAGAAAGTTTTTTCGTTAGGTTACTCTTCATCTAACTCTACCTATTATATTGAAATATACGACTGTTTTGGGAAAATATGTTTTGTGGAAGTACATTGGTAGTATTTTTAGGAAATTTACTTATAAGTCCTATTTTCCTTTTGATATTTAAATTGTCGTACACATTTCATATTTTAAATTGAGTCCTATTTTTTTAGAACATAAGTTGTATTTTGATTTTGTCTCTTTTTCTATATATTGAGTTAAGCTTAAATTTGGTATGTACATACTTCTCACCACTATAATCTTATAAAAATATTAACAAACAATTTAAAAATAAAACTATCAAACTATGCTCGAATAGTATTGGGCATTTTTTTTTTATATATATATTGTTTACCCAAATGTTGTTTTGGTTCTTCGCTACCTTATCTCTCTGTTTCTGATGATGTAATCCCCATTGGTTAGTTTTTAATAAAGATCCTTAATAGTTGTCAAAAAAAAAGTATTGGGAATTTTGGTAATTTATTTATTTTGAATTATTTTTCTAATATTTTATAATAGTGAGAAATATATAGATACTAAAATTGAGTTTAATTTAATATTTTGAAAAATGCACAAAATTAAAATACATTTTATGTTCTATAAAAATAGACTTGAATGTAAAATATGAAATACATGAGACTCCGTGTTTGACAACAGGAAGGTAAATGTTTCTTAAAAATTGGAAGTTCTTCTTTGCTGAGAAGAAAGAAGTTACTGTAAGAAGTTCTGGGTTTCTGTGTTTGATAACCTGCTGGAATGTTAAAGAAGTTCTGGGTTTCTGTGTTTGATAACCTGTTGGAACATTAAAGAAGTTATGGGTCTCTGTCTTTGATAATCTGCTTGGAATATAAGGAAGTTCTATGTTACATAACGGGCCTTACACTGTAGACTACACACACAGACAAAGTAACGATGTAGTCTACACACACAGACAAAATACTCTTTAATCAGTTACATAACAGGCCTTACTATGTAGTCTACACACACAGACAGAATAACCATATTATTATTATTATGTGTTTATAAAACATTGTTAGAAAAGACCAAAAGAGAGTATCAAACATCTAAAGCTATGTTACTATCGATATATTCATTCGTGAGGAAAATAAGTCCAATACAGCTACATGAAGGGCCAGTTTTCAACTGATAACAAACTATAAACCGTATAATCGTGAGCAGCATTGACATTATAATGGTGAGCAACATTGACATTCTTTTTTGGATAGTTCAGTCATATGAAAGAGTTATACAAACTTTAGAAGCAATAAAACTTTAAATATTTCACAATTACCCCAATCACAATCATAACTAAAATTCACCTCAAGCATCAAAGATAATCAATTTTCTCTCATTCAAACTTCATGGCAATGATTTGTTCTGTTTTTCCTAGAGAAACTATTCTATACATCAAATAGTCAGGATTAATTAAATTGAATATTGGATTCTTCAACCATTTCCTTAACTAAAATTCCACAACAAACTCAACAAATTTCCTGCTGATTTCCTTGAGAAATGTTGTTATTTGCAAAAATTCCAGTCAATCTATAACAAGTTGTTGTTTTCTTGTTCGCCGATTCTATAACTACATTCTCAATGGTCAGATAAAACCCTATGCTTGATATTGAAAATTTAAAAGTAAGCTTAATCTAAACCTACTGCAATTTCTTTTCTTTGTTTTCTTCACGACCAACAAAAGAACTATCAATGAAGAAAAAAATACGCTAACAGTGAATCAAATTTAAGCAATCTAATTGACTATCTCATTTTCAGATGATTGCAGTCACAAAAAAAAAGAAAAAAAGAAAAGGGGACACCAAATGGTTATGATTGTGTAACCAGATGAAAAGAAGAATTGGAAAATGAGAGAACTGTGAAATTTAGCTAAGAAAGTTTGACGGGAGGGATGAGGGGCAAGGTTTCTACAGAGAACTGTTTACCAAAAAAACAAATTATTTTTTTCCCTACAGAGAACAATTTACCATTACAAAAATATTCAAAGAATACCGTAGATCCATTTTCACCATGTTCGGAACCTAGAGAAAAAATAAGACAGAGCAAAAAAAATAAAACCATGCGATAGAGAAATTTTCACCATGTTCGGAACCTAGAGAAAAAATCAGAGAGAGCAAAAAAAAAAAAACCATGCGATAGAGAAAAAACTAGAGAGAGAAAATAAATCAGGGGAGAGAGAAAAACCAGAGATATACCTTTGTGAGGAGGCTCGTAAGCGCAAAGAGAAGGCGCGAGATGGTCTCTGCTCCGTAGTTAGGGCAATCGGGGGCAAGCAAATGCCCTCTTCTTCGCGAGGTGCTACCCTTCAGCTAGGATGCCTTTTCAAGCTCCGTGTTTTTACACGGAGCTTTTTCTAAGCTTCAAAATAGCTAAGAGAAGGGTGGAGTCCGTTGGTGTAGAGGTACGGTGCCCATCAAATTTTAGAATTTTCAAAATCTATTTTTATATCTAATTAGAAAATTTTAAATTTTAAAAACCGTTAAAATCAAATAGATTTATAAACATATGAAAATCTTGAAAATAGACGGTAGATAATATATTACAAAATGCACTAATCTTTTTATTTTTAATAGTCATACATCTCAATACCAAGATGATCAATCAAAAGGCTTTTCAACATTAAAACTACCTTTTCTAATGGACTTTTGAGAGGCATATGTAGTACTACATTATAACATATCATCTTTATATAAACTTTTTCCTTTTAACTTACTTGTTTTTATCCAACATGAGCAAGTAAGTTCCATCCGGTGAGTATCTTTTAGTTATCAACCACGCCTAAATAACTTACCAAAAAAAAGCACTCCTAAATATGAATTTAAAACACATATAGGATGCTCCCTCAGGAGCATAGTTTATTTCCAGATGAGCTATTTGGGAGGATTTCTTTTTCCATATGAAATTTTGTTAACCACCTTATAATCATTATGTGATTATTTTTCAAAGAAAATATATGAAATTTTGAGTTTTCTAGTACTTAGATCTCACTCTCTAAAAATTGGACGATTTACATCCGAGCCGTTATTTTTTTAAGTTCTTAAAGAGTGCAATTAGAAAAAATTTTATTGAGGTTAATCTATGTGGTAAAGAAGTTATATCCCCCATCTGAGTTCTAAAACTAATCCTACATGGGGTTTTGCCTAAAAGAGTAAATCAATAGTATACTCCGGAGGGAGTAGAATATCTTTTGGCAATTCAAAAGCGCCATACATATCTAAAAGCACTAAGGGTGCGGTTTGTATAGCCGAGGCCCTAAAAAAAGCGAATAGTATCTAGAAATGTGATTTTAATATTAGAAATACTTGACATAGCTTTAGAATATACTTTCATTTCTAATTATAAAATTTAAAACTTAGAAAATAGTGTAGATCCTATGAAAACTTGAAATCTTTGAAAATTGACAGTCTAAAAATACATTGCAAGATGCCCTATATCCAAAACTTGAAATCCATTTTTTTCATATCCACGCATCTTGATGTCGAGATGATCAATTTGAGGATATTTGGGCATCAAAACAACCTCTTCTAGTGAAATTTTTGAGGTGGGTTCTAATTTGATTTTTTAGAGCCTCGGCTGTACATAGGATTTTTCTAAAATATAAATATAATAAAAATTATATAAATGGCATAAAAATTATATAAAAGGGGTGGTTTGTATACAGCCAAGGCTCTAAACAATCAAAATCAAGCGCACCTTCAAATAGTGTCGATAAATATGGTTTCACTACTCAAAATCCTAGTGATAGCCTTAAAATATATTTTCATCTTTAGTTATAAAATTTAAAGCATAAAAAATAGTGTAGATCAAACAAATTTATGAAATCTTGAAAATCTTGAAAATTGATGGTCCCAAAATACGTTAGAGGATGTACTATTTCCAAAACTTGAAAAAAAAAAAATTTTATTTGAACATTCTTATATTAATCGTGATGTTTTTTTGTGACATTCTCGTTATATTTTTTTTTACTTGGTGAAAAATATTTAAGTAGTTTAATATCGACCAATGGGACACCCAACTAGGGGTAACTCAGGCTCGCCAAGGTGCCGAGCCCTAGTAGGGGGCCTGGTTACCCGGCACTCAGACCGAACCGAGTAGTCAAGCACTGCTTGTAACAATTCTCTCTTATAAGTTCACATTTTCTATCACGAGAAGTTTGAGAATGTCACCATTAAACTTCCTTTAACTAGTCAAAAAAATGGATATTTTTTACCAAGTCAAAAAAATGGATAACTCTGACAAGTTCTAACTCTGAGAAAGTCAAATTAATCGTGATTTTTTGTATGTTTTCTATTATTTTGGGTAAGAGTGGAAAGTGCTTTGGCCATAAATACTTATTTTTATATTTTTTTCATTTTTTGTATTATTTCGAAAATATCCCATCAAAAAATTTATTCTTTTAACTACTTTTTTAACCTCATTTTGAAGCATTTTTCTTAGGAAAAAGTTTATATAAGGTCGCAACCTTAAATTATAGAATCACATATGCACCTCAAAAATCTATCAAAAAAGGTTGTTTTAATGTTGAGAACCTCTCTAATTGATCATCATGACATTGAGATGTATGATATGAAAAAAAAAGATTTTGAGTCCCAAAAATAATACATCTTGCAACATATTATCTAGATCGTCCATTTTCAAGATTTTCATATATTTATAGATCTACTTGATTTTAACAAGTTTTGAAGTTTAAAATTTGATAAGTAGATATAAACATAGATTTTCAGATAATCTTAATAAGTTTTTATACCAAAGTTATATGTTATGATAAAATTTAGAGGTGCGCCTTAATTGGATTGTTCAAAGTTGCGACCTTATAGAAACCACGCCCTTTTTCTTAAGCTTACTTTAAATATAAATTTCCTATTTTTTGAAATTTTTTACATTTTTTTAACCTTTTTTTTGCTGCTATTCCGACTACTCAGCTCAGGCCTGAACCGAGTACTCGGGCCGAGTAAACCTTTCTAACACTGGCCACACGGTTAGCAACAAGTGTCCAAGACACACAAAGTCAAAAATCTGAGTGTGGGCATTTGGGAGTCATTTGATTGTATAAAGGGATTCTCTTAATGTCATAAAATGATTCAGATCGAACAAACTTTGCCTTGAAAGTTAAGATTTTTTTTATGATAGAAAAATAAATATTCAATAGGAATACTTGAGATCTACTTGGTGCAAGTAATGGATATTTGTCCGTCATTGGATACTTGAGATCTACTTGGTGCAAGTAACGGATACTTGGTGCTAGTTTAATGGTAGGAATCGAACTTGAGATGTATTATTGCAAATGTCAACCCTATAAACTACAAAGCCCATACCAGATTCCTAATATATATTCGCGTTTATTTGAGGAAATGCAGCCCTCTTAGTGGTTGTTCATCTCAACCCTCCGTTGTTTGTTGTGGACGGCTGAGGTACATGCTGAATATATCGTTGTCATGCTATTGCATCGGTATAATAGTTATAAAGAAGTCTATTCAATTGGACATGTACGCCTTAATTCAAGTACTTCCCTTAAACGACATAGATGAGAGACTTCCAATACCTAGAAACTTTACAAATTAAGTCTGAAGATTGGTACTCCATTCTTGTCATTTCACATGTATAGGAACCAGAAAACTTTTGCTTATTCACACTTGTTTTTTAGTTATGGATGTGAAATCTAATATATTAAAATATACCACAGCATTCGGGAAAATTTGTTTTGGATTTTTGTGCTTAATTAGTGACACATCACGACCCATCCAATTTCACATTGAACGGTTTGCAATGATTGTGACCTTCTCATATAAAAAATAAACGGTCACATCATATACATTTTTTAAAAAATAGTCCCTTTTTTATGTTGAGGATAAAAATACTTAGTTTTTTATTCTCATCTTAAACCTGGTTCAAATGTACATCTTTCGAAGTGAGAGCTGGTGCTTCAATGCAATGTGCTAAACCTTTTTTTTTTTTTTTAGGGTATTTGAAAGGGAGAAATTACTACATGTTTAAATTTGTTACAAACGATAGCATTTGTATACCTCTGATTTCAGGAAGAAAATAGTCTCAAAACATTTGTAAAATCTGTCAATTATTCTTATTAATTTGTTCTGGATTGGGTTTATTCATTCATTTATTTACTTTTTCATTTGCTTGGTTACTATTGACTCATGTGTACGTAATTTAGATGGAAAATTGCATGGTAATTGTGGAAACATCTCGAGGATTTTTTTTTCCCATTTTTTGTTATTATTACTCTTGAATTTTGGAACTCTTTCTATGGTTCATATCTCTTCTATTTATCCAAATATTTGCATTTGATTGTTTGGAATCTCTTTATAGGTTTCTTCGTCACTTGATTTCATGTGACTTGTTCACCATAAAAGAGTAAATAGTATACGGAAAGTATAGAATGAAACAATTATTTGATTGACCAATGGGTGGATTTAGTATAGGGAATGTATAGAATGAAACAATTTACCTTTGATACAATGTGAGATATTAATCTTGACCATTGGATGTGAAATTGGGTGGCTACAATTATTTCATTGACCAAGCTCAATCTTTAAAAAAAAATTCTCGAACTTTGTGACACATCCAAGCTATAAAACTTCATATCGGATGGTTGTAAGTAATTGTGACCACCTTGTATCAAAGGTAAATGGTCTCATTGTATAGAATCCCGTATAGTATATAGGGGAAGGCAACAATGTGACACGGGACGAAGCAAAGTCCAAGCACAACCTAGAGACCAAGCATGATCTTGACTAGGGTTGAGAATTTACCCAACCTAGATCCGAAACCCAAAATTTAGATCCTATCCAGATCCGGGTGTCGATCCAAGATTTGGATCCGAAATGATCTGGATTCAAAATATAGATCCGATTAGTAATTTGGCTTGGATCTAAGTATAGGTACATCCAATCCAGATCCAAACTATTTTTAAAAATAATTATATATATATATATATATATATATATTAATGCATATAAACGAATAAATTAGGCTAAGGCTTTTGTAGAAGATTAAACCAACTTAAAAAATGGATCGGATTTTAAGAAATTTGGTTGACAAAACAATTAGAAATCACACACAAAAAAGAAAAGGCAGGTTGAGTCAAGAACACAAGATTCTTCAATAACTAGATATTTTAGGGCCAGATTTACTAAGTATTGGACCGAAATCGAATAAATCAAGCTATGCTTATGTGGAAGATATAATCACCTTAAAAATGGATTAGATATTTGGCTAAGAAATGAAGAGAATCGTGAAAAAAATGGGGCCGGGATGAAGAACACATGTTTCTTCAATGGATTTGAACTTTCAGGGCCAGAGCTGTCAAGTTTTGGGCTAGAATAAAATGAAACAAGCTAGGGA